CTCTCCGCTCGGCCCCCCAGGGTCCCTCAGCCCCGGGACGGCTCTCTGCTTAACAGATTTGCCGGGTTTAGCGCCGGGAATCGTTCCCTGAAGGCCTGGGGTGAAGCCCGCGCTGGGCTGTGGGAGGCAGCCGCCGTGGCGTGAGGCATTAACCGGGAGTTTTTCCTCAGATGAAGTTATCCGCAAGCGACTGCTGATCGATGGCGATGGGGCTGGGGACGACAGGAGGATCAATTTGTTGGTGAAGAGTTTCATTAAGTGGTGTAATTCCGGATCTCAAGAGGAGGGGTATTTGTTTTCTATTTTGTTTTTCCTTTTTTTTTTAAGTCTTGGAAGTGATTATCTCACATTTCAATGGAAAACGGGGATTGATCTGTTTTGAAGAGACCTGTGTTAAAATGTATACATCTGTTTTCCAGTATGGCTCGGTGGTGGTCCCAGTACAAACACCGAGCACTGTGGTAGGAGATGAGGACTAGAGACGGGTCAGAAATCACTGAAGTCTGCTATCACCACTCGAATGCCCACAGGATTGTGTCGCTGTGCGATCCGTCCAGGAGTCCCGCTGTCGTAATGGGATCAGCACTTGAATCTTTAGTTGGCAGTTTGCATTTGTTCGGTTAGGGAAGGGTAGTCCTGCTGGTATTTCTGCTGCTGTGGTTCTTTTTTTTTTAAAAAAAAAAAAAAAATCACCAGGCTAAAGGGATGAGTGACAACGTGGTGTTCTGCTGTGGGGTCCGTACTAGCACTGGATATAAATTCCCAGAAGACACAATATAACTGTTTTGCGTACAGAGAAGCACTTCAGTATTAAAATACTAATCTCAGTGGTCACAGAGGCAGCCCTAGCTGGGAAGTTTGTAAGCTCTAGATCAATCTGCCCATTGCTTTACTGCTCACTTTGCACCTAGAAGGGTGCGATCATGGAATTAGTACATGCAATGTTTCTAACTGCACTTTCAAATAATTATACATTGAATCTTTGAAATATTTTTCTTTATTTAATAATTGTTATTTAACTGTTCTTATGCTGCATGGATAGGGGGTATTTTTATGCTGTTTAGGAATAAATGTCTTGTCTGTTTTCAGTTACAGCCAGTACCAACGAATGCTGAGTACTTTATCACAGTGTGAATTTTCAATGGGAAAAACTCTTCTGGTGTATGATATGAACCTGAGAGAAATGGAAAATTATGAAAAAATCTATAAGGATATAGGTAAACATGAGAAAATATTATTGTTTTCTGTTTGACAATTTCTCTTTTGTGAACAAGCTCAAGCAGTTCTAGTGAACATAATGTATACATATGATGAGCGGTTTGGTTTTTTTTTCCCCCCCTTAATATGCTGCAAGCATCTTATCAGTATATAAAATACATACAAATAAAAGCTTATCATATTGAAGCGTATGTAGTTTTGAAGCTGATGGCCACCGTGTCACAAACAGCTCTTTATCTTCTTATAATTTAGCAGAATGGCTTGTTTACATATGTTGTTTTATTTAAGTATAACTCTGTATACTTTTTTTTTTTAAAGAAAATAGCATAGCTGCAGCACATGAGAAGATTTCTGAATGCAAAAAACAAATCCTGCAAGCAAAAAGGATTCGAAAAAATCGCCAGGGTAAGGAGCAATATCTGTATTTATGCTAGTCAGTTTCATGATTGTTATATTTTAAAATATTTTATTAGAAAATAGATTCCAGATTTTTGAAAGTGCAAGGGAATATACTGGCATCATGACTACTATATTTAGTCTGGTGGGTTCCACATCCACTACGAAAGTTTTTGGTGCATGAGGCAAGCAAGATTGAACCAGAGATCTCAATGACATGCAACACCAGGGAAACCTGAAACAGTTCAGAGAGATGTTTTCAGGCCAAAGTAAAAACCCCAAAAGCATCCTATCACAATTCAGGTGACTTGAGAAGAACTAAAGCACATCATTAACAGTGAGACAAGAGTTGAATAGACTTACACCCCGCACTGAAGATCATGCAATAATTTTACACTCAACTGGAAATTAAAAGAACCCTAACCAGTAGGAATGTAGAGTTCTTATGTCTTCACAAACATAGCTCTGAAGTGTTTGCTTTTTGATATATCTTGTCCAGCCTGCAGCACAGATTTTTGCATGGGGATGAGGTAGTTGGCATGTGTACAATCTTACTATCAGGAAAGGGCTGTGTTCATTCCTTATATAACTATAATATTATTCTTAATGTGTAATACAGTTTTTTTTTAAATTCCAGTTGTTTCTCATGCAGCATTTTATGCTTTTTTCCTAAAAATCTCAAATGCTTGTGTAGCATCAGCACTGTTTCATTAGATTGTATCTAAAACCAGTGCTTATGAATCGTACACAAAAGACCAAGCGTGGAGCAATGCAGAGCTATCTAAAGGTCGTGTTTTCTGACCTCATCCTTTACAAATCACTAGCACTGGGTAGGCTTGAGTAGATAATGGCCTACAGTCATATCTTAAGTTTATTCAAAATCTCATTTGATGTAATCATCTACTTTGAAATGTTATAGCACGGTATAAATTATATACATTTTTATATATGGGTATTTGCCGTTACTTTTTAAAAAATATATAGAGAGTTATGTACAAATTTGAAAAATTAAAACAGTTTTTCAAGAAGGAGAAAGAATCTGTTACATTCTGTGGTACCTGATCTTTGGTTTTTGAATCTACACTTTCAGAATTAGACTAACCATTTAAATTTCTTTCAGAATATGATGCATTGGCCAAAGTCATACAACACCATCCAGACAGACATGAAACACTGAAGTAAGTGTGACACTACATTAAATTATAGTAAGCTAGAAGTCACTAGATTCGACACTTCCTTGGTTTCAGTTTGACCTTTCCTCACTTTTATATAATTTCTTTTGACACAAGAAAAACTTGTGTTTCATTTTAAAATTGTTCCCTTACCAGCTTTCTTTCATTAATCTCCATCTGTATGGGTTCAGAAGCATTATTAATCATGTTGTATTTGATTTTTTTCCATTGTTAAGGTGAATAGGTAAACTCAGATGTAAGTGCACATCTAATGTCAGTTTACCAGGGTCGAGTTGCTCAGAACAGAGAGATAGTGGGGAAGTGCTGTCAAGTGCACCAGCAAGGGATTCAGTAGTCAGGCAAAATGCATAACACACAAGCAAGTAAGGTGGAATGAGAGAAAACAGGAGAAAGTTCTTAGGGCTTTCTTTTATGTTTTCTTAGTAGTAGTTGTTCCTGCATGCCCGGTTATAAATTACTGCGTTGTGTACCACAATATAACCTGCCCTGGCACGCAGGTTAGACCTACCTGTTGTCCAACTTAGCTTGCTTGTAACTTACAGTATTGCTTTGTGTCATTGTTGGATTTGGATCACTATCTATGCTTTTGGGTCATTTTGGGCAGTTGTGGGGACATAATCTTTTTAACTTCGTCAAGCCACAGAAACGTTCCAGGACTCATTGCATCTCTAAGTTTGTTCTTTACCTGATTAAAGATGTGGCATGGGGTTACCGTTCTCATTTAAGCACAGTTTGCATCTATCCTGTTGCCCACTTTCAGTGAATTTGCAGAGGGAGGCTGTCTTTTCACAGTCCATGGCATTTTACAGGAAAAGGAAGGTTTTTAAAATTACATTATTACCCTAATAGTGGGATTTTTATAGCTATAAGCTGTTAAGAATATTTCACACATTTATTTCTTGCAAGTTGTTTTTCTGTGCCTTGATTTCATTACCACAACTGATTATTAAAGGCAATTCTCATGAGGCTTGACTACTTCTTACTTCATTAGTCAGCATGTGCCGTTTATCAAGTGTGGCTTCATAATAAAGAATTATCAAAAGTGAAGCTTTTCAGATAAGGCAGTTGATTAAGAATGGAAACAACAAAATGATAATACTTTTCTTAGAAGATGCCAGGTCATTCAGGTTTGGAGAGAGCTTGGTTCATAGGTATTTTAGCTTTAACTGACCTCTCCTAGTGAATAGATTTTAAATATAGGAACTAGATGAAGTTTTCATTGAATGTTTTAATTACAAGGCTTCCTTTCTCTCCAGTTTGAGGAAAGTATACAGAAAATCATAACTACTAAGGACCACTGTTAAATCAGAATGCAGGAAGCCTCACTAACAATGCCACGGTTTTCTTGGAACTCTTAAACACTAAAAACAATTGAGAGATCTTGTGATGAGAAATGTAATGATTTATTGCAAGGGTTACATTTATAGCTTTTGCAGATCGTATAGTACAATAGGACGAAGTTTGGAAAAAGACTTTCTCTAGGCTTTTAAGGGACTGTTTCTTGGAACAACTAGTCATATAGCACAAAAGAAGAGAAGGTGTTACTGGCTTAGTCAGAAGTAACGCACAGGAGCCAATTCAGGAAGTGACAGGAGCTGAACTGATAAATGGTAGTGCCCACAGTGTAATTAGATGCAGTAGCAGAAGAGCTATTAAGAGGATGAAGAAATGACACTGAGTCTTAGAAAAGGAGATACAAAAATGAGAACACTAGGCCGATTCTCTAGAGCAGGAAGTAAAAGCAGCAAAATTCCAGATGTAGCTTGAATGTTACTAGAAAAAAATTGCATGTCTTCTCACAGTCTGCTTATGCCTGACAGCATGGTATAAACAGCAAGATTTGGCCAAATAAAAGTCTTTCAGAAATCAAATACTAGTGAAATCATTGTGTGAGCCTATAAGCTGTTAGCCCGTTTCCGTTACAGGTAGAGGTAATGTCACACATCACCCTCTTTAGGGCATTCCCTCAAGGTACCAAGCATACTGTCTCAAAAAAAGACAACACCCTCAGGTAGAGCAAAACCAGACCTTTTTCCCAGCCACCGTGAGTTGCTAAGGACTGGAGGCCTTTCTGTGGTTCCCTGCCCAGATTAGTTGCAGCAGCTGTCAGTGCTTCAGAAAAAAACCTTTTATTCCCTTGCTGACCCCTATATGGCTCTGCCTGCTAATTAATCAGGGATGGTCAGCCTCAGTCCACTTCACCTTTAAAGAAATAGATTGTTCTCATTACATGGATCATGAATGACGGTAGGCATTAGAGGCAGAGTAGAAGGGCCAAACTAGACATTTGAGTGTAAGAGGCGGTGATGCTCCACCCTCATTTGAAAGCTAGTGTACATGATGTACCTGTTATTCTTTGCCCTACTTCGAAAAGGATTGTGGTAGTTCATGGTGTGTCCAAATGAGAACAGAAAACAATCAAATACTTGCAGAAGGATCACAAAGAAGTGTTGAAAGACTTACCTATTTCAAAAGGATATGAATAATAATGAAGATTATAGGTGTTGCATGTTTCCTTTATCTCTCAATGCCAGAAGCAATCAATTAAAATAAAAACTGACATTTGAGAAGGAAATCAGTATTTACATGGATCAGTGTTAAATTCTGTGTGCTGAGGCATAAGCTATATCATGTAGTTTCACAAAAAATGTGAATTATTCTACATATGCCCATTGTAAAGTCTGGCTGTTATCCAGCACTGTCTGGTCAAGCTGTTGTCAGAGATAAGGTTCTTACTATGTCTTTGGTCAATTGTTGTGTCTGGGAACTGTGTTTGTATGTTGGGTATGTAGGTTTATCAAATATGTTCTCCATGATGATGCTACATTTTTATAATCTACTCACGTCAACATAAAGAACTCTGTAAAGTAGTGAAGCCTATGAAAATGCCATTGGTGTTTAATGTAACCCACTTCTTTAACTTTCATTGTACAGTCAAGTAAATAACGTGTTTGTGGCAGGACTGAACTGTTACAATCCAAATGCCCCATGTACAACTGCACTCAAGCTTGGAGGCCTTGTTTTGTACAAGTCCTGAAATTATAAGTTTATGACAAGTTTATGCCTCTCTGTCATTTCATTTGTTATGCTTTGTTTACTTATGCTATTTATTTAATGGTTCTTTTTCCTCTAATTAGTTAAAATCTGTTTTTCAATAATTTTACAGAACTTGTATGGCAATTTCTTTTCAGGCAACTAGAAGCTTTGGGGAAAGAACTGCAACATCTCTCTCACATTAAAGAAAACGTTGAAGATAAGGTAGGTTTTTCATAGAGATTGTTATACAATTATTTATTAGGAACATAATTAATGGAGCATCTGCTGTGGGTTGTTTGGCTGTATGTGCTCTGTTTCCTAAAATATATATTTTATCATTCCAGTTAGAGCTGAGAAGAAAACAGTTTCATGTTCTGCTGAGCACCATCCATGAACTTCAGCAAACTCTGGAAAGTAAGTGGTGTTCTTAGGTAAAATATATATAAATGGGTTGGGTTTCAGTGGATCAAAGGGAATTGCAGCTTTCAGCAGTGGGCTAGCTGTGTGCAATTGAGGGTGGTGACCTCTTGCATCAGCAGCATTTTTTTTTTTTGAGTAGTGGTCCAGAGCCTGAAACTGCTCAGAATTCTTTTCTTCTACAAGCTAGACGCTCTGTCATGTCCTGACTAGCTTCAGATTAATCTGTAGGCAACAGACTTCTTAAAAATGTGGGGATGGAGAATAGCAATTTGAGGTTGTTTTTTTAAAACAGAAAAGGTATTTCTTACAGGAAAGTATTCTAGTTTCCAAACTTATTTGTGTCAGTCCTATTTCAGTAATTTTGAACATGTCATCATGATGTCGTTTGAGGCTTTACTAAAAAGAAATTGGAATTCAGGAAAGCTAAGTGACTTACCTACTCAGACAATGAGTCTGTAATAGAGCAGGGACTAAAACTGTCATATACGAGAGCTAGGTTCAGGAATTCAGTCATACTTATATTTTGTCATACAAGTACTTAATATTTTCAAATCAGCACCTACTTTTCATGCTCTAATATGGATAATATTGTTTTAAATATTGTTTGCTGGATTTTTGCAGTGTCTTTCCAAGACAGAATAATTGGTATAGCCTTTGAGCGTGACCTGATTAACATACAGAGATGGCACTGAGAGCAGACTTTCATTCTCTAAGGCTGTCTAGATCTTCTTAAGTAGAATGAACTGTTAATCCTAGGTGCACTTTAGCAGAAGGTTATTGTTATTGTGTGTTACTAACACTTGCTTAAGTATTAGTTCTCTAAAATACATTTTTGCATGAATGTATAGATTACCTTTCAGTTTCTAGAATTTTATGAAGGAAGTAATGTTTTAGTGGAAGGCACAGTCTCAGTTTGAGATAAACCATTAATAGGCAAAGAGAAGGCATGTAATTTGAAGCAATCTGGTACTCTCTGCTTGTATTAATACTATAGGGTTTACCCCATGTTTCCTGTAACAGCTGCTACAGATAACATTTAAGGCAATCGATGTGAAATATTTAAGTGGGACACAGCTTTGCAATATAGTGTGTAAATATGACCAAGCAGGTTTGACTAACAGTAATATTGAATTTTAGATGATGAAAAACTTTCAGAAGCTGAAGAATCTCAAGAAACTCAGATGGAAACTGAGACCAAACAGTAGACGTGATATGAAGACTACTGACTATACTATTGAAGAATAGCCAAGCGTCTACCCTTTGTATTGAAACCAACAGTAAGAAAGACAGAGCCGAAAAATAGTTTTCTACTGCTTCTGTGAATTTTTATGCAA